CTTTAATATAAGTTTAACATAACAGAAAATGAACAACGTTTCGACAAGGTTTTGTCATTTGCTGTTATGTTAGACTTATATTAAAGTTTTTCTTCATTACCCATTCAAGCCGTCTCCAAGCATTAATAGTGCTGAGAAGATATACGCCATTTTACTTACTGCATTGAGAACAACTTACAATGATGCGTTAAAATCCTAATGAAGAATATTTATTCATGTCAGTACAAATTTTACTTTAAAAGTTGTTGTTTGTTATTAAGCACAAAGCAACACAAAGGGTTATTTGTGCTATGCCAATGACAAGTATCCAAACCCAATTTCTAGCAGTATAAGTCCGCAGACTCACTACTTTGCCACTGGGGGGAGGCACTTTAAAACTTTCTGCGCTAGATGAGTAGAATAAGCTTAACTCTTGCTCGTAACTCGTAACGTGTATAAAATAATTTATTAGAAGGATCCAAATATGTAAATATTCAACTAGATTAAGCTATTTTTACAATGCAGCCCTGTACTTTTTTTTTATTGTTTCGCCAGTTGCTGAAAATATAAAATATTATACCTTATATACAATATGTCGGCGGTGTCACTTTTTTTTTTCAAATATATTATTTATGGATTATATTAATTAATTATGAAAGTGTCGTACATGTTTTGGTTTTGTCATTATCAGCCAGTCCCACTATGAGTCAGTGATAAATCTCAGGACTTACAACGCTAAAATTCAGGGTTCGATTTTCCGTGGTAGACAGAGTGCAGATAATCCAATGAGTAGCTTTGCACTAATAGCCAATAACAACTTATTATGGATTTAATCACTTAACTAATAGAGTGTCATGAGTTAAGCGAGATATAGAAAACTAGTGTTACATGTTACTTCTGTACTGGAAGTATTAGCTAATTGCCAAACCAGAATAAAAAATTGGCTATAATATGTACAACCATCTGTTCATTACACTAAAATGGTTCAAAGACATAGTGGGTTATCTAAAAGTATCCTCTTTACGGTAGGTACAGAATAATTAATTGGGAAAATGAACAGACTAGAGTTATAATTACACCCACAAGTTGCAGTTTTACCATTTTACATATTATAATTACTTCTTATCTGAGAGAATATTTGGGATACGTAACAAATTATTTAACTAAGATATTTGATAGCTTGTTTATTTCAAAGCGAAGCCACAACAACCTATCTGTTGTGTCTACCACTGAGAATCGAACATCGGTTTCTAGCGTTGGAAGTTCCAAAACTTAAAGCTGTCCCACTGGGGGACTATTCGATAGCCCCTACTTTTGGTCTTGTCCAATGCACGGAGAAGTCGTGCTATCGTAAAGTTATTTCAGTATTTTTAATTCAAATGTAAGACTTTAAAAAATAAAACCTATAAATGAACAATGTCAAACTTTTTTAATGTCTCAGTGGATAGTTTACTAGTACGAAATAATAGAAAAGGAACAGAAAAAGTATTTTTTTACGTTCACTAGAAGATTGTTTGTAATTAAGTACAAAGCTACACAATGGGCTAT